AATTTCAGTGTTATTTTTTCCCCCACAATATGGAAAATGGATCGATCACATTTTGGATTCTTCAAGAAGCAGATAAAGTTTTTTTTTTTTTAATTCATTTATTTGAGAGAGATAGACAGAGAAAGAGAGAGAGAGAAAACACAAGCAGAAGGGAGAAGCAGAGGGAGAGGGAGAAGCAGGCTCCCCGCTGAGCTGGGAACCTGACATGGGGGCTTGATCCCAGAACCGGGGGATCATGACCTGAGTTAAAGGCCGATGCTTGACTGAGTCACCCACGCGCCCCAAGAGGCAGATAAAATGAGATGATTGCAAAAGTTTTATTGGAAAATAACATTTTGAAATTAAAAGGGAAGAAAGCAAGATTGAGAAGGGGAAGCCATTAGACCATGACCCAGAACTGACAAAAATCCTTGCCAGTGTAAAGGGGAACTCAGAGAAAAATTATCTACTAGAGATGTCCCATACTGGGTGGAAATAGCTAGGTCCTTGTCAACCTACTTATTCAGTCTACTGCCCAGGGCTCCAAAATTGAGGAAGAACCTGAAGAGGTAGACAGCTGGAGTCTATTAACGCACTGCCAGGTAGGCAGTGAATCCTCTCTTGAAGAAAGATCTGAGGGGGTGCCTGGTTGGCTCCGTCAGTTAAGCATCTGCCTTCGGCTCAGGTCATGATCCCAGTGTCCTGGGATCGAGCCCCACACCAGGATCCCTGCTCAGCAGGGAGTCTGCTTCTCCCTTTCCCTCTGCTTGCACTCTCTGTGTCAAAGGAATAAATAAAATCGTAAAAAAAAAAAACAAAAACAAAAACAAAGAAAGAAAGAAAAATAAGAAAGCTCTGAATGGCACATCTCCCTGTATTCCAAAGGAAGAGAGAATCCATATGTTTTTTATGAAGCAAACATAGTATTCATACCAAAATTTGATGAAGACAGCATAGTAAAGATTATAAATCAATCTCGCTTATGAACATTGGTATAACAATTCTAAATAAAAATATTACACATTTGAGCAAATGGAATTCATTTCAGGAAAGCTAGAATGTTTCAATAGTAAAAAATTGATTTATTTAAATAGCCACATTTTTAGGAGTAAGAGGTTCAATTATATAATCATCTCCATGGAAAAGGCCTTAGAAATTCAACACCCATCCTTGATAATAAATAAAAAATTCAAAATGATTTCTTGACATAATGAATGGCATAAACAAATAGATATATAGATTGATAGGTAGATAATTGACAAAACCAAGTATAATTTGTGATAGTCATGAAAATTGCTATAACTGCTTAAGAAAAATATTTGACCCAAAATTGCATTCTTAGATATGTATTAGCAGACACAGACAAAAATATGCATAGAAACGGTATTCCTAGCTACAAGTGGAAACTGGAAATCACACAAATGTTATCAACAAGAGAATATTAAATAAACTGTGCTATCTTCATAAATCAAAATATTATGCAGAATGGAATTTACAAAAAAGATTGCTTCTAACAATAATAAAGTATTTCAAAGAGCTAATGTTATCCAAAGAAAGCTAGATGTAAAAAGTATATACTTTAGGATTCATTTATATAAAGTGAACATGTGTGTGTGAAAGTGATCTCTGGCGATAGCGTTTAGGTTTGTGATTACAAAATGTAGCAACTGGGAGGTGACAAGAGGAAGGTTCCTGAGGTGCACACCGTCTCCTGGATTATAATCTGTGTTGTGTCACACAGGTGCACACATATTTTAAAAATACATCAAGCTTCACATTAACAGTTGTGCATTTTAATAAAGGTATGTTATACCTCAATAAGTTCAAAGTGAATAATTATTGCAATTAAACACTAAAATAAAGGAAGAATCTATGGGTCCATAGGAATACTCAGTAGTAAAAAGGAGAAGAGGGCATAGTTTTACATATAGAGGAATACAAGCTAATAAACGTAGACCTGATAATAGAGTAAGATAACCTCCAATTTTCAAACACTATGTAATCATTGGTGAAGGCATGTAATTAGTACTGAATAACAGGCAATTTTTTAGGTGTTTTTGTTTGATCACTATTTTTCTTAATGGAATGGGAGAAACCCCAGAACCTGGGTCTAAGACATGCATAAACACTGACGTGTGCCTGCCTAGCTGGCTGGTCAGAGGCACCACAGACTCCGGCATGAAGGATGCCTAAGGCCAAACAGTCCCCAGGGTCTAGTGGTCCCTGTCCAGCTGGGCATCAAACAACTGATGGTAAAGACAACATATAATATATTATTGAATTTAGAACACATTTTAGAGTAAAAGGTAAGTCTAAGATAATTAAAATTACATAACTTAAAAATAGTTATTTATTGACCATTGAATTATTATATTATATATAAAACAGTTTCATTCAAGGGTGCCTGGATGGCTCAGTTGGTTAAGCATCTGCCTTTGGCTCAGGTCATGACCCCAGGGTCCTGGGATCAAGACCCCCATCAGGCTCCCTGCTCAGTGGGGAACCTTCTTCTCCCTCTCCCTCTGCCTACTGCTCCCCCACCCTCTCTCTGTCAAATAAATAATGAAATCTTTAAAAAAAAAGTTTCGTTAAAAATTATTTTCTAAAATAAATGCTTATAAAAGATATAATTAGTGACATCCATATATTTAAAGAATTAAAAATTCACAATGATTTTTTGACTATTAAGACTCATGAACAGAGTATTTATTTTTGGTATATTTTATCAGTTATTTTGCCATCTCTCTTTCTAATACTATGACACTGACATTCTCCTGAAATATAAATGCTTTTTAATATGGCCATATTATACTTATTTTTTCATAAAAGTTTGCTGAAATATTCTTCAAAGTTACATTTTATGGTTAATAAATTTAAAATTATTTTTAATTAAAATAACTTTTAAAATAGCTTTAACAACTACAGAAATCTAGAATGAAATTCTACTGAATCCAGAAAACCTCTCCAAATTGCAGTTATCACTTAAATATACATTTAATGCAGGAACTTATTTATGCTGTTTTTGATTTTCCTCATGTCTGCCATAGAAAACCTTGAAGTATAGTTACTTAAAAGATTAATTCTTGTTTAATTTTAATTAGGGGCATTTTTCTCTTTGTAATAAATACATAGTTAAATTTTCAATTTTTCTCTTTGTAATAAATACATAGTTAAATTTTCAATTATGTAATGTTGAAAATGTAAGATAGTTACTTAAAAAATAATGAGGTATGTGGGCGCCTGGGTGGCTCAGTGGGTTAAGCCGCTGCCTTCGGCTCAGGTCATGATCTCAGGGTCCTGGGATCGAGTCCCGCATCGGGCTCTCTGCTCAGCAGGGAGCCTGCTTCCCTCTCTCTCTCTCTTTCTGCCTGCCTCTCCGTCTACTTGTGAGCTCTCTCTGTCAAATAAATAAATAAAATCTTAAAAAAAAAAAAATAATGAGGTATGTATTGATCCTGCTTGAACATACAGTGCTACCTCAACAGTGTTATTTCGAATTTTATAATAAGTAGGTACTATCTTTTATCAACTGATTGCATATATTTTAAATAATCTTTAAATAGATAACTAAATCTCATTATTCTTTACAGAGTGTTTCTTATAAAACAAACATATTCTATTTTTTAAAGATTTTATTTGTTTATTTGACAGAGAGAGAGAGACACAGCAAGAGAGGGAACACAAGCAGGGGGAGTGGGTGAGGGAGAGGCAGGCTTCCTGTGGGGCAGGGAGCCTGATGCAGGGCTCTATCCCAGGACCCTGGGATCATGACCTGAGCCTAAGGTAGCAGCTTAAGGACTGAGCCACCCAGGCGCCCCCAAATAGAGATTCTAAATGGTCAAATAAGTTAAGAAGCACACAGGCTTAATTATTCTCATATGAAGATAAATCTCTACTTAAAAATAGTCTAATTAAGGTTTCATATGAGTTTTGTTTTTCTCTATGTAGTTGTTTTGCTTTTGATCCTTTTATGGTTTCCTTTTTAGTTTACAGTGTATTTTATACAGTACATGGGTCATCATTTTTTCTGCCATGTCTTTTTAACTTATCCTTATACAGCATTTATTTTCATAGATGCCTCTTTATGCCCACAGGAAGAACTATTAAACCAAACACTGGGCAGCGGTGTGGTGTGGTGGAATACACACAGGCTTGGGGGTCAGGTGGACCCCGGTGCAAACAGTGGGTCTTGTACTTACACACTGAAGGCTCCCAGCTAGAAAGTGTGAATAATTGTGAGGGTTAAGGCACCTAGCAGATGTTGACTAAATAGTGCCTATTACAGCATTTTCATCATTACCATTCCGAGAGGAAAACCCAAAAGAAATGGTGCATGAACACACCAGTGACCTGATTCATTGGGAACCATTTGTTTATTTCTGATACAATGGTGACAGAGCACTTGTGGTCCTCTGGAAAACAGACCATAAAGTGATAGATGAAAACAGAAAGCAGGAGGCTAGCCTTCTTACATTCTGCTGCCACCGTTAATCATTGACTTGGTTTTAGAAATGCAGAAGATCAAACAACAGACAAACATACAAACAAACAAAAGCAACAGAAGAACTAAAAGACTTCTCTTGCAGAGGAAAAGCTTGGGTTAAAACAAATGATTAACTATTATTCCGTGTATTTCTGGATTATTTTGGGAGTCCACACCTTGGGGAAAGAAAAGCAAAGACTGGGTGTCAGAAAATAAGTTGGGAGCAAGAAAGTCTTTTACCAAGTAAAGACTTCCCATAGTCACTTATTTTAAGATTTCATAAAATGTCAAAATTCAGGTTAAACAAATATAATAAGAATAATGTGTCATTATATTGGAAAGTTTGTTTTTTTTTTTTTTTCAAGAATTTTCTTTTGTCTTTCAGCAGAAAAAAAAAAAAAAGCCATCTCTCTCCTGCAGAAAAGCTTGGCAAAAATTTATGAACTTTGTTCAGCCTCGCTCTAGCACGCTGTTTGAAATTCACTGGCTTGAACAAATGAATAAATATTCATCACCTCGGCTTTCTTCTTTTTTCTAGGTGCCTCCCATACTCCTTGATAAGCAGTTCTCTGAATTCACTCCAGACATTACACCAATCATTTTGGCAGCCCATACAAATAATTACGAAATAATCAAGCTTCTAGTTCAGAAAGGAGTCTCTGTGCCCAGACCCCACGAGGTCCGCTGCAACTGCGTGGAATGCGTCTCCAGCTCGGACGTGGATAGCCTCCGCCACTCACGTTCCAGACTCAACATCTACAAGGCCTTGGCCAGCCCCTCCCTCATCGCACTGTCAAGTGAAGACCCTTTTCTCACAGCCTTTCAGCTAAGTTGGGAGCTTCAGGAGCTGAGTAAAGTGGAAAATGAATTCAAGTCGGAGTATGAGGAGCTGTCCCGACAGTGCAAACAGTTTGCCAAGGACCTACTGGATCAGACAAGGAGTTCCAGAGAACTGGAAATCATTCTTAATTACAGAGATGACAGTAGCCTTATAGAAGAACAAAGTGGAAATGATCTCGCCAGACTCAAATTGGCCATAAAGTACCGTCAAAAAGAGGTGAGTGTTGCCAGACCTTTTTATCAAAATATCATATGATTTAACCACAGTGACGTCAACCAGTACTCTGGAATTATGTTTGGGCTTTAGAGCCTTTTCTACTTATCTGGAAGTGGATGATATTTATGGTTTGCCACATTAATAATTACGAAACACATGGAAGAACGGCAAGAAATGGCGTAATAACTGATGACGGCATTAGGCGAATGTGTTAAGATGTACACATTTACTGTGGTAGAATGGAAAAACTGATGAATTTTAGAATCTCCACACTGAAAGTTCTGGTTCTACCATTTATAACTCTTGTTCCTTTTCAGATCTCTTTGAGATTGGTTTCCTCATCTGCTTAGTGGATTTAATAGTTATAATATTTTGTTATATGTATTTATTTATACATATAAAATATATTCCTCAGAGATTTGTAGAAGTATAAAATGTGTGGATGTGTGTGAAGGCTTTGGTAAATTATAAGTCCTTATGTTAATAAAATACATTATTAGAAGTTATTAATGAAGAAAAAATACTAGTCCAACAGCAGATGAAAGTGTTGAAACCTCTCACATCTGGCTTAGTCTCTTGATTGGTCAGGAATAAGAGATTAAAGATGCCTAGTTGCAGAAGAGTTATAATTTCTCATGAAATTTCCATGATTTGAATATTAAGGAAAGAAAACTCAGAGCTGTCATGCTCATCACCTAGCATAATTGTTTTTGTTTCCATCGCTGAGTTAAGTGAGTTCTCCAAAATCCATTTTACTTCCATCTTCAGAAAATATTGGTTCTATGTTTATTCTTGAATTATAGTAATTATCTATTCTAGGAAATCAATTGGAGAAAAGTATATAAGGTAAGATGAAAAATAAAAGAGACTTCTGAATAAAAATGTATTCAGCTTTTTTTGCAGTTGGCCCTAATTATTCTACATTAGCTTTGGCTGCTTTGTCTACTGCTACTTACTAAATATTTAAGGATCGAGATACCTGAATTTACTTCCTCAAGTTTTTCCTATAGTTCTTGGCCAGTTGTCATTGGAGACTGAAACTAGTTGAAATGATCTTTTCCCCTAACAATGACGGAAACAGCTTCTTTTGTGTGCATTCCCTCTGATTCCAAAATCACACATGCTAGTTGGAGCCCTGTCAACATTATCAACTAATTTTTTTTAGCCTCTTGTGTTTAGGGCTCAGGGAACTAATATTTTAACAGAACTAGAATAATTTTAATACACAACTATAAAAAATGATGAAAAACTTTACTCGATTAGAGATTTTTATGTACTCAATATGACATTTAAAAGTAATAGCATGTACTAGAACTGATAAAATGAGGGGCACCTGGCTGGCTCAGTCTGTGGAGCATATGACTTCACCTACGGTTGTGAGTTTGAGCCAAACGTTGGGTGTAGAGATTACTTAAAAATAAAAAAACCTAAGAAAAAAAAAGAAAAAGAGGATAAAATGAGATGAGATACTGATGTGGTTTAGAATTTGAGCTAGTTCTTCTCAAGTATCTGTTATTAACCCAGTTTATGCTTTTCTTTCTTTAGTTTTCTGTGGGGAGAGAGATTTAAGGGATCGACATAGTAATTACAAAGGTCTTTTCCTATGATAAATCTGTCCAGGGTTGATGTTATCCTGTGAATGGTGAGTGAGATGAAATTCCCAGGATGCAGAAATCCACAAAATGAAAGAAAGAACACAGTAGCTGCAACTGGCTTTACTCACCTGTTGCATTTTTGTTTGCTCTGTAGTTAGTGAACCAACCTAGCTCCATTTTATGCCCACCCTGATATGGGTCCTGATATCAGAACCGATTTAACTTTGTCTTTGCCACAATGACTTTCGTGAAAGCACTGGAACAAAATGCTCATTGAGACTTCTACCATACTCTCTGAATGGAATACTATGGTGACATTTAATCAAGTGAAGCTCCCAAATTCTTGTCAAAAGTTTGTCCAAGACCAAAAAAAAAAAAAAAAAAAAAGTAGTATGAATTTCTTACATATTAACATATGATTCTATATTTACCCACAAATCATTTTTATACATTCTATTCATTCATTCATTTCTTCATTCATTAACTCTTTGAACATGTATTTTACCAAACATGCCAGGGATTGCTCGGGGCACTTAGGACTCCATGGGGGTGTGGCTCTGTCCTAGAGATGATAGTCTATTACAGGGAGACCATAAAATGTTAAATCTATATTGTTCTTATTCTTATTTCTGAACCCCTAAAAAGATTCATTCCTACTAAACTTTTTTTTCTTTGCTTAGGTTCTTTTGTATATTCCAAAGCATGCTTAACTTCAAAGCCTATTCAACAAAAAGCCACAAATTGAGTCTTTAGAAGTGTCAGAAGGAAAGCTATAGAAAGCGTTTGATCATTTCTAAGACTTCTTTCAAGGTGCTTGTACCTTTTGCGAATATGAAGTTGTGGGAATTGGAGGCTGATCATCCTTAATGATACAACAGGATGAAGGGTAGCTAAAAACACGTAACATGTAACAAGAAAAAAAGAATTAGTAATACCTTTTAAAAGATACGTTTTTAGAAAAGACACTGCATTTGCATTTTCTCTTTTCATCTTTTGAAATGATAATAGAGGGAAAAATTAAAACAAAATTCTTACAGAGTTGTTCTGGAGTATCTTTCATTCAATACTGAAGAAAACATTTCCTTTAGGCTGAACAATTTTTCCAAAGCAAAGTAATACTGGATGACTAATAGCATTATTAAATCAAGAATAAGGTTTTGCTTTCATATAAATTCTTTGAAATCATAGGTCATGTTTTATGAAACATATTCCTAAATTATTCAGAAATTATTGACTTCAGAATATTTGATGTAAGATTTTCTAGTAAGATCACGTGTCTTAAATGAAACTCTGCGTTAGCATAAATGTCTTGCCTTATGCCTTTTTACCAGAAGTTTTCCCAGTTTTAGTTTAAAAAAGTTTGTGGTTTGTCTTTGGTCCATCTCTTATGTTTTTGGAATGGCTTCTTATTGATCTTTCCACGGCTAAGTCCCACTCACTCTTCCAAACTCATATCAGGTCTCCCCTCCGATAGGGAGGTTCCATGAAGCAGTCCCCCTCCATACAATCTCTGGGATAAATGCCCTCCTTCCACACATTCTGTTTTGCATTGTATTGTTACATTTCGCCCTTCTCCTCCAGGTATGAGTGTCAGGAACACAGCCGTCATATTTACCAGTCATAACTCTGTACTGAAAGGTAGAAGGTGTTCAATATGAACATACCCGAAGTTGCAGAATCTCTTAATTCTGGACGGTTCCCTGCATGTTTCTTTGTCTGATTAAATTGCAGTGTTTAGGTTAATTACCTACTAACAGACTTCTTATGAATTCCAATATTAAAACAATTCATGTTGCGGGAACTTGATTACAGACTTATTCTGGTAATTCTGTAATATCATCCAAAAAGAAAGGTTTGCATTAATTGAATATCATGGATATTTTTATAGGCATAGGCAGAAGGATTTTATTGTTTCTATTAATACTTAACTACAAAACCTGCTGTATCCGCTACTGCCTCCACCTAGGTGTCATCATGGTGAATACGAGGTAAATCTGATCCAACCGCAACTTCTAGCCAAGGTCAGCTGAGCGTGTGAGTTTATTTCACGACTCAGCTTCTTCATAATTAAGCCAGGCATTTTGATATGAAGGGTTTTTTTGTTTTTGTTTTTTAGTTTTTGCATTGTGATAAAGCATTTGCCTTCTTCAAAGAGTGCAAAGTCTCCTTTTCCTTTCTTTCTTAACCCACTTTTATTTTTTTTCTTCAAAGAGTAATCTCTTTAGTCTCACTCTGAAAAGAGAGCAGGGAAAGTCTACTTCACAAGGGGTAGAAGTCAGCACCCCATTCTAGTGTTACTCTTCAAAATGAAGAGTATCAAAAGAAAATGGGGGACAGAAAGATAAGCCAGAACCAAGCACCCACCCCCTCGGAACTCAGTCTCCTCCTGTGGATTAGATAAAAGTGAGGTGTGATTGAGGACATATCTTCAACTAGTAACTTGTCCCTTGGTTCCTGATGTAATTTTGGCCGATATAGAGTTTATGGCCATTAAATATCAATTCCATGCCGTCACTGTTCTTGCCTAATATTTGCAGAATCATTGTATGTATTTGGAGACCTTGATGAGTTCCTTAAATATGTTCACAGCAAAGATCTTACGTAGTTTGTTACACATGGTTGTCCACATTGTGAAGGTACTAGTTCACAGTAAAGAACCCTAGATCTTGAATAATAATAGAAAGTAGTGAAATACATTATTGTGTGAAAGCATTACAATTCAATCTCTTTATAAGCTCTTCAAATTAAAGTTAGAAAAAAAAATCTCTACATAGTCAACAGCGTATCTTTTTCAATTTAATTTTCTCTTTTGTGAAAGTATGTCCGCAGCTTTGCAACATTAATTTTAAACTTTGGTACTAGCCTAGGTTCTCTCTTATAAATTAATTAATGGAGTTGTTAAAGAGGGAGGAGAAAAAACCAACGTCTAAACAGCCCACTATTCATACCCTTCTTATCTTTTGTTTATCTTGTCAATGGAGCAGTGAGAGAAATGTGAAGAGATTCCTGTCAATCAGATGCCATCCGTCATCCTGCATGGTGAACTCAGTTGATTCCAAATATTCCAGAATCAAAGCTCTTCAAATCTCTCAAAATTTATGGTTTCGGTTTCTTGATTTATTCAAAACTCCTTGATATGGAATCAAGAACCAAACCTACTGTCAGAAAGAGAAGACATAGGGAGTAGGTTAGGGGCCAGGGGAACCACGGAGGATAGAACCCTAACACAACCAGGGCATGCCCCGGGTGAGAGAGGAGAGGTGAAGGTGAGGGCATCAGAAGAGTGTTGGGCAAGTGTTAGGAGGAGCAGTTAAATAATAAATGGAGCAGAAACAAAGGAAATTTGTCTTCGTAAAAGTGCCTAGGGCTAGACTTTACCTCTATTTCATAAGTTTTCTTTTCTAT